AGAACACCCATGTTTGAGGGACTTTCCACCCTGTTTTTGAGTTTCTGAGGTAAGTTCGTTTATTATTTCCACTGCATATGTTCTTCACTAGGGCTCGTGTATCCCTCAGTAGTAGTGGCATTGAAATTTTCGGACCCTCCCTGAACTGTTGCTTTAATAACTCGAAAAAGGGGGACGCTCCACGGACACTCAGAGGCCACACATTTCGATAATGAAGCGATTCTGAATATCGAAGCCCAGCTGAAAAGGCCTACCACATTCATCGTGCAGCGGTAGTCATTCTCTTTCGAAAGACATCTGCCCTTTCTGCTCAGCCGCCTTCTTGACGACAAAAAATACGATTCCCATTAGCACCTCAAAATCGACCTCACTGCCTTTTTCAGCTCATAACTGCCAGCCCTTTGAGAGTTAAGTTGCCAATCTTTGGTTGGATGTTGGTAACAAGTCACTGATAGTGGTGGTACATATAATGATGATAGGTTGCACACGTGCTTGGAATAGTGCAGGCTCAAAAATAAGTTCAAAATACGCACGAACTTCTGAGACAACCTAATAGGTACCCATTAGGTCGCAAATTCCGCGACACGTGACAAATAGGAGTTCTGAAAGCCTATTTTAAAACCGATTTCACATATCGTCAGACACTCCTTTTCGCGAATATAACGCTGCTAATCCCATCATTTGCTATGGAACTACAGTAATTTCAGAGCTCAATAAACTGAGAAGCTTGAACAAAATTCGCACGCATGTGAACTATGAAGGGGTGCAGCTAGATGAGGTAACCGCAATCATAGGGAACAATGCCTATCAATAGGCCTTGCCAACTAGTATGGACAAATTATTGTTTTTTTTGTAACAAAAAGCATGAAATGGGTAACAGGAAACACCACAGTTTGTTTGAACTCAAGAGTCCAGCTTGTTTCACTAGTGGCTTCTTACAAGGCAGCTGTCTTGCGCGGGCCGTATCGTGAGCCTGAACTATTCAGGCTAGAAAATAGAATCACTGCTTTGATCACTAACTCATGGCCTGCGATGTTCCATATCGCAGTTTATGCGGATGCGAATTTGAGCGGAATTCGAGTTCGTGGCGCATTTCAAATCCATGAACGCCGAGTCTCTCATTGTTATGCTCGCACGTGCTTCATCTTACAAACGAAGAAGAATCTAGCATAAAAAGCTCATCAGAGTTTCTAATAATGCTATACAAATTATAGATTACTATTCCCCAATACGACATTTCAGATTCGGCAAACGATCGATGAATCGCTTCCAATTTGTACCCATCGAACTAATCCAAGAATATAACCGTAACCAGCGATCGTGAGCGACTGCTGGTCACCAAATTGAACAAATTTAATATGCGGTAAGGTCATGAGCTAATGCTCATATAACAATGCGAAACAACCCAATGAAGATTCTGTGAAGCTCACGATTTGTTTGCTCTCGGCAAGAAAATGCACTACTTTGAAAGAAACTAGAAATTGCAAATATTATATTTCATATGAAGGAGGAATTCACGATAAGAACGAAGGCCAAGAAGGGGTAGCTGGGAGACAAGGTGGTGAACGAATTGGCAGCGAAAGATTTGACCTCGGCGATCTAGCATGGCTCACTCTTGGCGCGGTTGGCGGGTACGCCCACCGACTATCTAATCACTCGCCGCAGGTCTATACGTGGCGAGTGATTAGATAGCAGAGAGAGCGTAGTGTTGAAGAGGGCACAGCGATGAGAGTCGCATCAATGCGCAAATCAACGGGCAAGGAAGGGGTCCCATTTCTCGGGTTTCGGACCGTTTCTGTTTCTTTTTCAATCTTGCTCCACTGACCGCTCTACCCTTATTTCCAATGTTGCAACTTTTTTCATCGTGAATCTCTGCCTTAAAGCAACAGTCCAGGCAGGGTGGGCGTGGTTGGAGACGACGGCAATCCCCTCGGCCGATTTCCTTTTTGGAGCTATACAGCCCCAGCCATGAACATAAGAAGTGTTAGTGAACAAAAACACAACTTGGGAAACCGCTAGGAAGGGAGCTAAAGTAAGCTAAGTCGTAATCGGCCGAGGGGATTGCCGTCGTCTCCAACCACGCCCACCCTGCGTGGACTGTTGCTTTAAGCTCAACCAAATTCGTAGACTTCGTATAATGTATGCTATCATTATTCTATCTGGCACATTCGCGATAGCAAAAAGTGGGGCAAATGGCGCAGTGAAATGCGACGCCAACTTTTTAACGATTTGCAGGAGTAATAAAAGATCTTGCCAAAAGTCCTTCATAAAGGGGCTCGGCCTAAGCGGTGAACGAATATTCGCAGAGAGGAACAAACTAACCAGGAAATGCTTTGAACTTCCCATGGAACTTTGGAAGGAGACCTAGATGACTCCATAGAGTCTTGAACGCTGATTACAAATATGGACATTAAAACTGCTACGTGAACTTTATAAGAAAGTTACGAGCATTCAAAGTTGGCAAAAAACGTTACTGAGGTAGGCTTACCTGATGGAATCACGCTCGCCGTGGCTCTGCGCTAAAAACGAGTATCAAATTCGTAATCAGGGCACCCACTAACCCTTATAGAACAAGAAACCAGACAAAAAGCATCGTGATTCCATCAGCAGGAGCTTGCTCGAGTTAACGTTTTCGCCAACTTTTGAATGCTCGTAACTTTCTTATAAAGTTCACGTAGCAGTTTTAATGTCCATATTTGTACTCAGCGTCCGAAACTCTATCGATGTTCATAGGTCTCCTTTCAAAGTTCCATGGGAAGTCAAAAACATTTCCTGGTAAGAGATTTGCGTGCCGAGAGCAGCGCTGGGCAAGGGGTATAACGGACGTCGTGATGACGTGGACACGGCAGCCTGTAAGGAATGCAATGTTCTTGATTTAGGCTGCAAAGCCTAGCGGCCCTTTACCATAGCTTCTTGAGCGAAAAGTAACACTGACGGTTTGCGAAATTGGAACATTCAGGATGGGAGATGCTCTCATTCAAATGTATTTTCAAACAAAAGGTTGGAAGAGATGCGCCACGCATGTTTCTCTTATGGCATTTGAATTCGATTTGGTAGAACAATGAGTTGAGGAGCTAGACAAAGTATAAACAGGCATTATCCTTTTATCAGCCACCAGCATCAGCATGGGCAGAGCCGAGGATGAAAAGACGTGATTGAAGGCGAACGGTCTAGCTGAGTCAATAACGTGATCTAAGGACGATTACTTCTCTAGCGAATCGAGGCGAACACGAAAATACGCGTGTGATTCTCATGAAGCATAAATCGACTGTCATGAAAAGCTGTCGATGTAAACATACTAAGAACGCATTTTTGACAAGGAGTCCGTGCGGCAGAACGGCAAAGAAACACCGCAGGGAGACAGGAGAGTGGCAAGTTACCCGGCGAGCGAGTGCGGCGGAAACAATCTGGGTCGTGATTCGCCGATACCATCCCTCCGGTGGTCGGTTAATTGGTACCAGACTTGTCTGGGAGGATAAAAACACTGACTTGTACATCGGCTGGCCCCCGCAAGTCATTGTATAGGCCACATCGCATTCAAACGCCACTACGAATGTACAAATGGAAGTAGAATGCGTGCCGCATCCCAAAAGGGATTGATCAACGGCAAATGCTTTATCCTTTTTTATGTCTTTTATTTATCATTTTCGCAGGCTAGTTTGACACGCTCCATTACAAACCTTCTCTTCATTGTAAGACAGCAGTAGTAGTTCAACAAGCACTATGAATTAATAATACCAATTTATGAACTTTGATGTGTTGCTTCTAACAATAACGCTACGCTCTATTACGATCCACAACGAACCCATCAAAAAGGCTTAATGTAAACAATATCATAAACGAAATAGCAGCTGGAAATCAAGGTGGTGTAGCGGTCAACACAAATCAACGATTCTGTGAAAACAATTATGACTTGTTTACCACCAAAATTTCGATGTTGTCGTGAATCTCAGTTGGAAAGTAGAGGAAGTAAGATTTCAAAAAAGAAACGAAAAATCGAGAAAAAGGCAAAGAAGAATAGTCGTTACAAGTACTACAACACCATGGCCTACACAAAAAAACCAGCGGTCGTGCTGGCGAGGGATTACTCACTGCTGAGATGTCGGTCAGACTCTGCGATTGCATCGCGCGATGCAGTCGCTCTGCCAAAAGTGCAAGCGGCGGGCAATGGCCCGCCGCGATCGATACCGATGTCGACTGCATCGATGTGGGCGGGGCCAATCGCCCGTCGCTTGTGCACATTGCAGAGCGAATGGCGGTGGGGCCAATCGCCCATCGCTGTGCATTGCATGGAGCGATGCATCGCGCATGCAATCGCAGAGTCTGACCGACATCACACCACTTATTCACCAGCTAACCAAATTCTAATATCAAAAAAAAAATCATGCTTGTTTCTTTTGAACCGTATGGGCTAAATTATGGAGCACACCACCAAAACCTAACAATCGCATAGTAACGAAAAGCAAAGCATCTCTAGACACCCGACTCCACCTAATTCTCATCTGCTGCACTACGCGTGTGACCCAGGGTGAGCCTTGCGTCAACGGAATTTGGTTTTACAACCTTCCCCAGCTTATTCTGCCTGTTCCACACGAAACGACGCTCTACCCAAAAAATAATACCTAGGCTCGGCTTTGACTCACCTTGGTGAATTTGCTTGTTACAAAGAGGTAAACCCAATTTATATGCTCCATGATGCTTCAACTAACCAAGGCGAAGACCACGTCTCCCGTGAACAACCCATGACGGCCACATTTCTGCACGGAAATATGGCTCGCACTTCAAAATTTGTCAGACGCCAGGAACAACGAGGTTTTCGGGTGAGGGCTTCCTCCACTCCTTTCTTTCTCAAACCGACAATTCCTCACTGTTCGCAGATTTGGTAAGCTTTTACTTGGCCTATTTTTGGAATTCACTGCGGTTTTATGACTAGTTCAAGTGTAACTTTTGGCGATTCTTGTTACAAATAGCTGGAATGCCGTGAATATCATTTTTCATAACTAGACACCATGATTCTTCAGTCGACAGCGTACTCGGTGGAGAGAGGAAATAAGCAAATCAATAAAATCGATGTTCAGCTAAAGAAGAAACAATAACAAACTATGCGGCGAAGCCGAAAGACAAGACCCGAGACCCGACAGATAAAGAGTATTAAGAAAGCAAAAATGCACAAGGAATTTCCATGAAGTTCCTCGTTTCTTTTCCATAAATGAATGGAGAATCAAAACCAAAAAAGTTCCGAGAAATTCGTAAATCAGCAGTATTTTACGGAATGATCCTACCTTCATGTGCTTTGACTCAAACTGAGGATGTTTAGGGTCCACCAACGTAATGAGCATAGTAGCCTCCCTCTCTTCTGCTGATCGCTTTCCGTCAATTGCCGTACTTACTTTACGAGGTGCGTGTATCGAAGCCAAATCTGAACGTAAGGTAATAAACAAACAGTCCTGGCGGAGATTCAATGAATAGTTTCGCATTTCAAAAACTATTTCGTTCATACAAAACGGTTAGTGTCAAAAGCAGTGGAAATTGCTCAGACAATTATTCTCCAACTTCCTTCAACCTGGGTATGTTAGTTGTAAGTTTGTTACTTTACTTGTGCCTTGCGATATTGTTAGGTGGAAGATTTATTTGATGGCTCAACGTTTTGAATGGTGGCTTTTGAAGGCCGATGGTTTCATTTTTCAAAGGTTATGCCAATCACCAAGAGCATCACTCAGTCGCTCTCCTTTAATCTGCATCAAACGCGTACCTTCTAGATAACTACGAGACGGCAATGACGACGACACAGTCACTTGAGATGATGGGGTTGAGGACAGATCTGGGCACGATGTCGAGAGAGTTTTCTGAAAAATGTTTTGTGTTGAGCAGGTTGAGACACTAACAGTTATTGAAAGTCAAAGTTTTGAAAACTTTGTAACAGCTCAGTGGGGAAGAGACCGTACAGTCTATCTACATTTACACATATCAAATGATAGCGTACTACACAAAACAACCTACCGAAATGGCAAAGGTCCCTCTTGTCGACAATAATGGATATACCGTCCGTTCCATCAAATCGCCTAATTCAAGATGACCAACACCGAGTTTGATCTGAACAGTGGACCTTATGATCAGGAGAGCATCGTCGAACTATTGAAATGAATGGCAAAAGAGCTTCCTAAAGGATACCTTTGAAACGTAAGTCTCCCTGGCTACATAGCCTATGGACACATTCTGCAGCGTGAGACAGGCAAAAGGATCTCCAGCTTCCCACTCTGGCGATGAACGCTTCACCTCATCCCATCCGCGACGACGCAGTTCCATCGTAACCTGAAAGCCGCTCAGAAACTCAGAAAATGAACTGTTGATGTGTTCAATTATAGCAGGACTAGCTAGACATTGGCTGAGGTCGATAAACAGCCATGTGACGTGTTCCCGTATGACTACGGCAAGCCTAAAATCTACAAACTCGACTCACATTTGGTATATGCAAATTCACGAACACATGGGAGTCGAAAGCCGTAATTTGTTGGGCATTGGACGTGAGTATGCCAGCGTTTAGAATTTCGCTCTGGAATAAAAACTTCCTATTCGCAATTGGGGGCTTCTTCCTTATATCAAGTATTATACTGTACTGATAAAATAATATACTTACAGTTGTGAACATATTGGGATCATCAGCAAACAGACTAGCTAAGCCGCTTAAAGCATTTTCCTCATACATTATAGAAACCGGACGGAAACTACCCTCCACATTGTGTCGTACGGTAAGACGTGGTGAACGACGACGGTACAGCATCCTGAACAATGATGCTCGTTCTAGTGAATCGAAATTTATTTATGTAGGTGTTGATTCCCAAACCTGAACATCGGCTCCGAATTTTCCTCATTGCTATCCTTCCGTCCAATGGCCAACAGAATTTTTGTCGATTCGACCAGTGAAAACATAAACGACTGATCAAGTTCATCGTCTGAATTGCCATCCTAAAATGGCGAAGTTTTAAAAACAACACCTAGTTACGGCAATATTATCGACTTCGTCTGCCTATTTATCTGTCACTTTGTCAGTATGTCTCAAACGGTGTTATCTGCCAAGAGGTACAAGACACATATTAGTTAAGCGGAGCTCGCACATGATGGGTAGTGCATGCTCTGAAATGTGCGATACCAAGGGAAAATGCGCCGAAAAGGATGAAGCTAGAGTTCAACTCAGTATTCGTTCCCTAGTTGTCCCCTAGACTGGTGGAAATGTGGGTGGGGGTCAGTGGAAAAGGGTATGACAAAAGTTAATGGTGGGCGATACATGCACGGGAGTGGTCAGAGGTTCGCACTTTGGTGACTGCCTTGCACAGAAACTAAATCGCTTCCGAGACACCCCAGAGACTGAGAAAAAACCGGCAGAGACTGGTGAAGGAGGGGTCGAGGGCGAAGCAAGGGCACCTATTCATATTGCCAAGAAACCACATTGTGTAAGCCAGCAAGTTAGTCAGATAAAAAGTGGTCAAGTGGTTACGAATCACGAAAAAACTGTATGAACTAAAACTCTCAAAAATAATAACCTATCACATCGATTCGAACAGATTTTTCGTTTGCACTGAGAATGCATGGGCAAGAGTGGAGAGGGTCCAATAGCAAGTAGCGCCACTAACCATGCGCACGGTCCGGAAATCGGAGCCTATTTCACATTGACTCAGCTTTCCATCCCGTAGAGTATGACTAACTGGTTTTTCAAGACGTGTGGAAGAAAACACT